CAAACAATAGAAAGAAGTAAATTTAAAGAAAACTCATTCCTTGATCGGCCAGCACGAGCACTTCGTGGCTAACGGTTGAAATGGTGAGTTTCTCGGGGCTCCGATATTCTGGAATGATCGGGATGTGTGGGATTTTCTTTTGAAAAAAAAATTGCTCCTTAAAAAAGTCTAAGAATTGCGTTTTCAAAGCGTATTTGAAAAAAAAAATCATGTCTCCAACACCGAATCCCAGCCCTTAAAAATATGAAATGGCAGGTCCACATGTGACCTTTTCACTAACTTGACACCAGGCCCCCCTGTTCTTAACCCCATCTTAGTGGAGACCACCTCCAAGGTCTGGTTGATAGAGCATCTACGCGGAGAGCGAAATGTCGGTGGTTCGATCTCCTGGCCGTGTCATTCCAAAAATACGTTGAACTTCTTGTTATCCTCATGGCACTCAGCATTAAGGGTCTAAAACAAGGACTGGTCAGCTCGGAGTCAGAAAACTGTGCCTGAGTGGGGTATCCATATTCCAACCGGCCATGGTGTTTCTGTAGGCTGGCGCCATAACATGTACAATTGCCATAAATCCAGACAAGTACATGCAGCCACAAACACGTCCAATACGTCGATAGGAAGGCCACGAAATCCCATTTCACCTCACCTCATTTAGAGGAAGAGTGTGTGAGTCTAAACTCGGCTTTGAACTGTGTTCCAGTTACGAGTACATCAGGACGTGTCAGTCCGCTGTGGGAGGAAAGCCCGAAGTGACCGGATGTTTACCAATTTTTCAAAGACACGTGTTGGTAATGGCAAACCCAAAAACATAATCAGAGCGAATTTTGGATGTTCATGGGGTGAGTGAGTGAGGTTTAACGCCGTATTCCAGTTATATCACGGCGTGTCAGCTTAATGTGGGAGGAAAGCCCGAAATGATGCAGGTCTCAGACGTTTACCACTTCGGTGAAACCCACGAGCACGGGTATGGTGCTGACAAACCTAGAAACATAATCGGGGCGAACCGGGATTCGAACCCACAATCAGAGGTTTCTGGCGTGCCCAAGGGACGCAACTCTGGACAGCGAATCGCGGCGCCTTAGACGACTGGGCCACCCGTGGCCCCTGGATGTTCATGATGTCAATCACTGCGTTGTGTGATCCAGATTCGATTATAGACAGATCATCGTCATGTTGCTGGAATATTGCTCATTTCTGCGTAAAACAACAAGTTAAAAAAAGACAATAGCATATACAAATCCCTATTAAACTCTCGAAAACATACACTTGGGAATTTTTTAAAGCCGAAATTCTTTTATTTCATCAACTTGCCACACTCACGTACGGCGTCAAACAGACAAACAAACGCAGTGATGCACAGCGCAGTAGCGTCAATCATAAAAATAGTACTATGAGAACACAGTGATTTTTGTTTGTTTGTTGTTGAACGCCGCACTCAGCAATATTCCAGCTATATGACGGCGATCTGTAAATAATCGAGTCTGGACCAGACAATCCAGTGATTGATATCATGAGCATCGATCCATGTAATTGGGATACGATGACATGTATCAACCAAGTCAGCGAGCCTGATCATCCGATCCCGTTAGTCGCTTTTTACGACAAGCATAGTCACCTTTTAGGGCAAGCATGGGTTGCTGAAGATCTATTCTACCCCGGAATCTTCACGGGTGAGAGAGAACACAGTGAAGAAGCAGAACATGTTTCATTGATTAGTGCGAATTATGTAACTACAGGCCAAACACACTTTCGTATTCTCTTTTTGAGATACACACACTACAACAGTGCGAAGTATGCATAATTCAGTCAATGAGGCGGCTTGTCTTCCGTGGGAACAATGAGGCCACCGGCCCATTTGTATCAGCGGAACAGATGTGTTCATATGTAGACATGTTTCATTGTCAGTCAGACAGCCATACGCTTAAATGTCAGTGTTAGTCAGTGTTAACGTCGCTTTGAACAGTATTTAAGTTATATCACGGCTTGTTAGCTTATTTTGGGAGAAAAACTTTATGATCACTTTGGGGAACACCAGGGACGAAATTAATCCGGGATTGGGTATGCGGTTCCAGCATGGCTAAGGGACGCAACTCCGTGAACCAATTGCGACTCCCACTGCCCCGGAGTCAATCGTGTCTCTTTTGGAATAGTATTATGCGTTGATATTGGCATTGGGCATTAAGCAATATTGAGGATAATACTTTTGCTCATACGACAAGACAGCCTCCACGGTCTTGTGAAAAGAGTACCCGGATTGAGTTGGATGGTTTGTTTGTTGTTTAACGCCGCACTCAACAATGTTCGAGTCTGGACCAGACAATCCAGTGATTGACATCATGAGCATCGGTCCACGCAATTGGGATCGATGACATGCATCAACCAAGTCAGCGAGCCTGACCACCCGATCCGATGGTCGCCTCTGACGACAAGCATATTCACCTTTTACGGCAAGCATGGGTCTCTGAAGACCAGTTCTACCCCGATCGACGCGGGTCTTATGATGGAAGTTAGACATAATTCTATATATTGCCAGAGTACTTACCTCTCACAGCCCTACCCGCCTTAACTTGTGCACGTAATGCCCCTGATCGAACATTCTATCTATAAACAGATCAATCAACCTTGTCTATTTCCTATTTCACTGCAAAGGCGTACATTTCCTTCACTGTCAATCATGCAATTTACATTATGAAACGTAAAGGTTATATGTGTGTCAGAATCTTACCTGTGTCGACTCATTTGCGTTGTGGGAAGAATGTCCAAGGTTAGATTCAAGAATGGAGGAGACTGCGAGTGTAGGCCGTGACGGACGTACCTGGAAATCGATCATCCCGCTGAAGAAACACTGACAGCGGGCTATGTATATTTCAGTGACATCCCATGGGAACGAGCCCTTCAGTAGGCTTTAAAGCTGTCACGCACGCATGGGCTTGTAAAAACAGTGTCGGGTGGAAACACTAACAGCAAGTGTGATTTCATTCATGTCGGTGATCATGTAAACGGAGAACGTTTTTTAGGTTTAATGTTTTGTTTGTTTGTTTTTTAACGCCGCTTTAAGAGAATATCAACTGAGTGTTTGATTTGAAATATTTCGATACTAATCGATACTCGACGCTTGTTGATATATTTGGCCGATATATTTGGCCGTCCTGTAGCTGGAATATTGCTGAGTGCAGCGTTAAACACCAAACCAAACAACCAACCAATGATATATTTGAAATAAAATGATTCATCGTACAGCATCTTCCACGTTTTGATTTAGTTTGAAAAAAGCAATAGCCAGTGTCTTGAGTATAACAGTACATCTTCAGTGTCAAAGTTTGTTTGTTTGTTTGTTGTTTGTTTGTTTGTTTGTTTAACGCCGTACTCAGCAATATTCCAGCTATGACGGTCTGTAAATATTCGAATCGGGATCAGACAATCTAGTGATTGACGTCATGAGCATCGATCCACGCAATTGGAATACGATGACATGCATAAACCAAGTCAGCAAGCCTGTCCGTCCGATCCTGTTAGTTGCCTCTTTCGACAAGCATATGGGGCGGTCGGGTAGCCTAGTGGTTAAAGCGTTCGCTCGTCATGCCGAAGACCCGGGTTCGATTCCCGACATGGGTACAATGTGTGAAGCCCATTTCTGGTTTCCCCCGCCGTGATATTGCTGGAATATTGCTAAAAGCGGCGTAAAACCTCTCACTCACTCACTCACTCACGCACTCACGCACGCACGCACGCACTCACTCACTCACTCACTCGACAAGCATATACAACTTTACAGCAAGGATTGGTTGCTGAAGACCTATTCTTTTCTATGATCCAGAAGACGTATCTTCGAAAGTGCGTTAAACACTCTCAACATGCACTTAGTAATGTAGTGGTCGCTGCTTCACCCGAACACCGGGTTGCATAGGGTCGGAATTCTTTGTGGTCTGTAAAGAATCGAGTCTAGGCCAGACAAAGTAGTGATTGACATCATGAGCATCGATCCACGCAATTGGAATACAATGACATGCATCAACCAAGTCAGCGAGCCTGACCACCCGATCCCGTTAGTTTCCTCTTACGACAAGCATAGTCGCCTGTAACGGCAAGCATGGGTTGCTGAAGACCTATTCTACCCCGGATCTTCACGGTTACACTTAGGAGGATCGTCCTGATCTGTCTTAAGCAGACATTCGTGGGTAAACCGTTTGTCGCTCGGGAGAAAGCACGGGTGACAGGAAGCCCATTCTGATCTAGAATCCCCACGTGGCGGCACGACCAGGTTGCAATGTGCCATGACAGCCGACGAAGCGTTCTGTCACGACTTCGCGACCAGGTCAAGCGGAAGAGGACATGATTGTGTTAATTGCCTATCCCGCTTTGATCATAATTGTCTTCCTTAATAGACTAATGCATATTTTAATACCATCAACATCGTCTTTAAGACAAGCACCCATAAAATAGGATGTTCGCTTAGACAGCGCCAGAATGAAGCGTTAAATTAAAAAAGGATGTATTTGTAAGGTGGGTCATTTGGGGGTTCATAAGGTATCTCGCCATCTTCCAGAGGCAAGAGTGAGTGAGTGAGTTGGGTTTAACGCCGCTTTTAACAGTAGTCCAGTTACATCACGGCGGGTCAGCTTAATGTGGGAGGAAAACCCGAATTGATGCAGGATGTCAATCACTGGATTGTCTGGTCCAGATTCGATTATTTAGAGACCGCCGTCACATAGCTGGAATATTGCTGAGTGCGGTGTAAAACAACAAACAAACAAATCAACCGAGGGTTGGGTTCATTTCCGGTCAGTTAGTTGAAAATCGTTCAACATTTTTAACGAAACTTGGGGTGAGTGAGTGAGTGAATTTTAAAGTCACGTCGGCAGTATTTCAGCCGAAACAGTTATAATATAATTATATTTAGATTAAATAATTCTAATCCTAAATTTTATTCCGCGTCCCACGGTGAGTGTAGCAACAAACAACAAACAATTTAGTACAAACAACAAACAATTTAGTTGAGGTGAAAGTAGGTTTATGTTCGTATTCATTGCCTTCAGCAAATTGACAATTTTACTGGTGCATCTTTATTAGCGTGGGTTGACATAATTATCCCACAAAAAAATTTCCGGAAGCTATGAAGACGCTGACGCTTTTACCACAGCTGCCATCTACAGACCAAGATGCAACCCCAACGACTATTCCGTTGCATATGAGCGGACTACCATCATCGCCCTGCAGAAGCAAACATAAAAAAAATACACAGTTTCTCCATGTAATCCAACATTACTACCTGTCAATTCAATCAGTATAGCCGCACTCAGCAATATTCCAGCTATATGACGGCGATCTGTAAATAATCGAGTCTGGACCAGACAATCCAGTGATTGACATCATGCGCATCGATCCACGCAATTGGGATTGAGGACATGTATCGACCAAGTCAGCGTTAGATACAATGCTGGAAGGCTATATGTAAAGTTTTATAAGACCTTTGGTCCAAAGCAAACATAATAGTGAGTGAGTTGGGTTTAACGCCGCTTTTAACAATATTCCAGTAATATCGCGGCATGTCAGCTTAATGTGGGAGGAAAGCCCGAAGTGATGCAGGTCTCAGACGTTTATCACTTCGGTGAAACCCACGAGCACGGGTATGGTGCTGACAAACCTAGAAAAATAATCGGGTCGAACCGAGATTCGAACCTACAATCATAGGTTTCTGGCGTGTCCAAGGCACAGCAACTCTGCACAGCGAATCGCGGCGCCTTAGACGACTGGGCCACCCGTGCCCCCATAACATAATAGACAAATTACATTTTGTAAAATACTTAAATATAGATACCTCTGAGATGACGTTTCCATCAACACACGTGTCTACTGACAAGATGGTGGCACCCAAGGAGGACACACGGGACTGGCACTCAGCATTACTGATCAGCGTAACATTTCTTTTCTGGAGGAGACTGGGAAAAGTACCATCTGAAGAAAAAATGACCAATACTTTTTCACACATAGTTATCCAATGACTGGACACGTGAAGGCCCGGGGTAGAATAGGTCTTCAGCCACCCATGCTTGCCGGGAAAGGCGACTATGCTTGTAGTAAAAGGTGACTAACGGGATCGGGTGGTCAGGCTCGCTGACTTGGTTGATGCATGTCAACGATCCCAATTGCGTGAATGTTAATGATATCAATCACTGGATTGTCTGGTCCTGACTATTATTTACAGACCGCCGTCATATAGCTAGAAAATTGCTGAGTGCGGCGTTCAACAACAAACCAACCAATCCAATGACTGACTGACTGTATTTTGTTTCAAATTGTTTGCACATTGTTTAAAATATGCCAGTTTTACAACCGCATCGTGGGCATAGATCCAGACAATTGTGAAACGATGAGCGAGTTATGATTTTACATTGCACTGGCAATATTGCAGCCATATCGCGATGAGAACATGTTTATTTTTATGAAATTCCTGTCGACAAAGGACAGTAAAACAGTGAGGTAATTATCACAGTGTAGACATAAAATTTACCCGAGCAATATTAAAACAGAAGTTTTCAGTCTATTAGTTATTAGAAAGTAAATCCTGGCTATAGACCACTGGCAACCAACGCTAGACCAGCTAACTAGGGATCATGGGGACTTACAGTGCTTTTGATTCCTGCATGATTCGGGGGCACGGGTGGCCCAGTCGTCTAAGGCGCCGCGATTCGCTGTGCAGAGTTGCGTCCCTTCGGCACGCCCGAAACCTATGACTGTGGGTTCGAATCCCGGGTTCGCCCCGATTATGTTTCTAGGTTTATCAGCACCATACCCGTGCTCGTGGGTTTCACCGAAGTGGTGAATGTCTGAGACCTGCATCACTTCGGGCTTTCCTCCCACATTAAGCTGACACTCCGCGATACAACTGGAATACTGTTAAAAGCGACGTTAACCCAACTCACTCTTGCATGATTCCCAGCAGGATTTATGCCATCGCTTTGGCCACGTTGGTTTGTTGGTTTGTCGTTTAACGCCGCACTCAGCAATATTCCAGCTATATGACGGCGGTCTCTAAATAATCGAGCCTGGGCCAGACAATCCAGTGATTGACATCATGAAAATCGATCCACGCAATTGGGATCTATGACATGCATCAACCAAGTCAGCGAGCCTGACCACCCGATCCCGTTAGTCGCCTCTTTCGACAAGCATATTCGCCTTTCACGGCAAGCATAAGTTGCTGAAGACCTATTCTATCCCGGATCTTCACGGGTCTCAACGAAGTCATAGTAGCCTCTTATGACAAGGATTCGCCTTTAACGACAAGCATGGGTTGCTGAAGACCTATTCTAACCAGAATCTTCACGGGTCTCCTTGGTAGAATGTGTCCCCAGCACATCATTGCTTGCCGTTAAAGGCGACAACATTGGGCATCCGGTTTACCGTTGGCTCCGAGCCAGTCGAGGAAGCGATTCTGGATCTTGAGCGCAGTGGAGTCGGGAACACTGTTCCTGTTGGTCAACGCACATTTGACCCTGACTTCAGACAGACGGGTGGGTGAACGAACTTAATTCTATGATTTAAACATATTTTATTCAGATTGAAATGGATTGGGAACAAGTTATCCAACTTAGGACTCCCTCTCCATGGTATTTACAAAGCTTGTACAGTAAATCATATACAAGAAAAACAGAAAAGAAGATGAGTGTAAAGATAACAAGAAATGTACAAACGAGAGAGACTAGTATATGTACATTAAAGTGTTACCCAAATCTCTTTGTATGACTTATAAACATTTGCACTGCTTTAAAGATGTGTTGATTTTCGATAATGGACAAACATTCATTTCCGTTTAACATCAAATTTAAATCTAATTTAGCATTTTTGTTCACGGCGTTCTGTAAAATGTCCCGAATTATTATTAACATAGTTTTTCTTTGGTGGACGTACAATGGACACTTTAATAAATAATGATATGCGTTTTCACATGGATCACCACATTGACATATTGGATCACATTTTACCTCTATTCTGTATAAATCATAATTTAACTGGCTTTTCATGTATCTTAATCGAGTATGATAAATATTCAACTTTCTAACACCATAGGAAAAATATGGAGGTGCAATGACTTGCTCTTTTTGTATGTATGTCTTGAATTGGGATGTAGATGTACAATTTCTACCTGCTGCAGGAATAGTGTTCCATAACCTTACAGTTGATGGAATAAAAGAACACGTTGAGTGTTTTAATCTAGTATATGGAATCCCAATATTGTCTGAATTTCTTAAATTATATGATATATTTGAACCTACAGTGGTTGGTACAATGTCTTTAAGGTAAGTTGGGGCAATATTACTTTGTATTTTGTAGAACAAACATAGCTTGCGTTTCCTTCTTCGTTCTATTAACGTTTCCCATCCTGTTTCATAATACAGATGTGTGTGCGAAGTATACTTTGGGAGCCCAGTAACTACTCTGGCAGCTTCTAGTTGGAGATTTTCTAACTGAGTTGATAATTCTATATTACACCCATCCCACACTTCACACGCATATTCGAAATGGGGTCTTATGAAGTTTGTATATACTTTATTTAGTGTATTTCTGTTCAATATGAATTTTAATTTTCTCATTGAATTTATCATTTTTGATATTGACTTAATTATGTTATCTACGTGACAGGACCATTTTCCGTTTGATGCAAACGTTATACCCAAATGTTTATGATTTTGAACATTCTTAACTTTACATTCATCAAAGTACAAGGTAATGACGTCTGATTCATCTTTTAAGGAAAATATAACCGCTTCTGTTTTATCTGGGTTGTATTTAATTAACCAGCGTTTTGCCCAGTTACACAGCTTGCTCAGATTTAAATTTAGAGTTGATTCAACAAGTTGATTGTCTGGTGAAGAAAAGCCGAGTGCTGTATCGTCAGCAAAGAGTCTTGTTATGCAATCTAATTCATCAGCAATGTCGTTAACAAACACAATGAATAAAAAGGGACCTAACACCGACCCCTGTGGAACGCCAGCCTTCAAAATCCTTGGCTTGGATAGAGCCCCGCTTACAAACACTGATTGAGTACGATTGCTTATGTAACTGGACAGCCATTCAAGTAAATTCCCTTTTATACCATACATTTCTAATTTGTACATAAGCCCTCTATGCCAGACACGATCAAATGCTTTTGACACATCGCAAAAAACCATGCAATATTTTTCTCTATTATGTAAAGATATACAAATTTGATTATACAATTCAATTAATTGATGGACAGTGGAATGGCCTTTTTGAAAGCCCGACTGGTATTTATATAACAATTTATTGTCATGAAAGTAGTTATAAAGATGCTTAAATACAACTCTTTCAAATACTTTACCAATACAACTAATGAGTGATATTGGTCTGTAATTTGTCACAACTGAATGATCTCCTTTCTTATACAATGGCATGACATGCGCTCTTTTCCATTCTGTTGGATATGCATTTAAAGCCAATGAATGATTGAATAACATACATAAAACAATACTAATGCTGTTTACTGTTTTCTTTAATAGGTTGTTACTTATTCTGTCCGGACCAGATGCCTTGTTAATTTGAAGACATTTTATAACGTCAGATATTTCCTTTTCTGAGACAGTTAATTTGTCAAAAATACTCTTAGTGCGTTGATTGAAATCTGGTAATTCTTCCCGTTCTTCTGTTAGGGTAGATATGGATTGGAAATATTCATTTAATCTCTCTGATTTTTCTAAATCTGAAAATATAGTGGGACAGTCATCGGTATCTTGTTTCCTCAACGGGGGGATGCTCGTAGATGTCCCAGAGTTTTTGACGACATATCTTAGTAATTTCCAATATGATTGTTTATTTACTATATATAGTTCCGAAAGAAATTCATCGATGTTAGAATAGAACTTTTCTTTCGCATAACTTTTCATGTTGTTGACTTTATTGCGTTGTTTTTTGTATGCTATAATATCTGTCTCCTTATTACTTCTTTTTGATTTCTTTCGTAACCTATTACGTATCCTACACTCCTTTCTTAAATGTGTATCAAACCATGGTTTGTCATTTGGTCGAATAGTGACAGTTTTAGATGGAATACATTGTGTTACAAAATCATTCAATCTTAATTCTATGCTGGTTGGTTGGTTGGTTTGTTGTTTTACTCAGCAATTTACCAACTTAATGACGGCGGTCTGTAAATAATCGAGTCTGGACTAGACAATCCAGTGATTGACATCATGAAAATCGATCCACGCAATTGGAAACGATGACATGCATCAACCAAGTCAGCGAGCCTGACCACCCGATCCCGCTAGTCGCCTTTCACGACAAGCATAGTCACCTTTTACGACAAGCATGGGTTGCTGGACAAGCATAGTCGCGTATTGAAAAGCAGGGAGATAATGCTGAATGACTTCGAGTCCCGTGATCCCCAGTTAGGTGGTCTAGCTTTGGATGCCGGTGGTATATAGGGTTGTGGTTTTTTCTACTACCTAAATTACTGAAATATTCTTTATTTTAATAGTGATTGGGTTTGTTATACACCTAAGCTGTGATACATGACTTAGTGTTTCACTGTCCTTTATCGGCAGGTATTTATTAATAATGAACTTGTTTTCATCGCCATATGGCTGCATTATTGCCGATGCGATGTAAAACGTCAACTCACTCAGTGATGTTGAGAAATAAATTTAAAAACCCTTTCAAAATTATTGGTTTTGTTTGTTTGGCTTAGACCTTTTTCACCTGCTCTTAGCCTAAAGAATCCAGACTTTTGAAGCTTCTGAGCGTATTTGAGGACGTCGTCAGCAGTTTGTGACTTACATCACTTACATTCTTTATTTCTACATCAAGATTTTCAGTTTGCGAGAGCTTCAGGTCCTTGCGGAAAAATATTCAACATGTTCCAAAAAAAAGCCTTACCTGTTAACTTTCCCCATCCAAGAATTTCACACTCTAATCCAGCTTGGTCCAATGCAGTCCCAATTTGGGGATCAGAGACATCAGTAACAGGGGTTGTTGATCTGTACTCAATGTTATCGTAGCTGTATCCAGGACCATTAGTTGTGAATGAAGCAGTCTAGAAAATCATGTTGATTTTGTTTGTTTGTTTGTTGTTTAACGCCGCACTCAGCAATATTCCAGCTATATGACGGCGGTCTGTAAATTATCGAGTCTGGACCCGACAATCTAGTGATTGACATCATGAGCATCGATCCACGCAATTGGGATTGATGACATGCATCGACCAAGTCAGTGAGCCTGACCACCCGATCCCGTTAGTCACCTTTTACGGCAAGCATGGGTTGCTGAAGACCTATTCTACCCCGGAATCTTCACGGCGGTACCGTCGTCGAAGTACGATGACACGCATTTAACCAAACACTGGGTAGAATTCTCCATAGACATCCATGTGTCTTAAATGTTTTTTGACAGCTGCTTTTATAGTTAGTTGGTTGACCAGAAAATCCAGTCATTGACAATATGAACATCGATCCACGCAATTGGGATTCGTTCGTTCGTTCGCAAGATTACAGCTGTAAATAGAGTCTGGAGCAGACAATCCAGTGATTTATATCATGAGAATCCATCCATACAATTGGGATTGGTGACATGCATCAACCAAGTCAGCGAGCCTGACCACCCAATCCCGTCAACGGTCCTTCTGCTGACTGGATGTCCAAGGCTGACGTCATAGTAAGGAATCTGGAATTAGGTGAAGCACCCGTAAATACCGGTCTTCCTGTGCTTGTCTGCAGTACTGCCAGTTTGCCTGTGACGTGTAACAAGTCTGGCGATGATGCACTTGAACCAGCCCATGATCCTGGCAACGTGCTCCTGCATCACTCCCATTTGCAACATACCGATGTCTTCAGCAACCCATGCTTGCGGTAAAAGATGACTAAGCTTGTCGTAAAAGGCGACTAACGGGATCGGGTGGTCAGGCTCGCTGACTTGGTTGATCCATGTCATCGATCACAATTGCGTGGATCGATGCTCATGATATCAATCACTGGATTGCCTGGGCCAGACTCGATTATTTAGAGACTGCCGTCATATGGCTGGAATATGGCTGAGTGCGGCGTTAAACAACAAACCAAACCAAACCAAATTATGCGTAAATAGTAAATGTGTTTTGAGGGAATTTGGGAACATTATCAAAGTGCAGTAGTCAAATAATGGTCAAGATGTATAGTGTAGTGAAAACCTGAAGATATGAGATTTCTCCAGGGTGATGTTAAACTACGAAAAACATAAAACGATAAAACATCCCAAGTGGCTACAGTAAAAAGTCAACTTACCAGAATGACACTCGTGATATTAGAAATCGTTGCTTGAGATAAATCCGATAGGTCGTTGGTATCAAACACCATTCTGTAGTCCTCTAGGGGGAAGCTGAAATGTAATTCTTCACTTCACTAATAGTTCAGGATTGGTACTTTCTTCTGATTGTTTGTTGTTTAACGCCGAGCTATGCAGTATTCCAGCTATGTGACGGCGGTCTGTAAATTATCAAGTTAGGACCAGATAATCCAGTGATTGACATCATGAGCATCGATCCAGGCAATTGGGATCGATGACATGCATCAACCAAGTCAGCGAGCCTGACCACCCGATCCCGTTAGTCGCCTCTTACGACAAGCATAACTTGGGATCGATGACATGCATCAACAAAGACAGCGAGCTTGACCCCCCGATCCCGTTTGTCGCCTCCTACGACAAGCATAGTCGCCTTTGACGGCAGGCATGGGTTGCTGAAGACCTATTCTATCCCGGATCTTCACGGGTCAAAAGTGAGGCAATACAGCTTTCATGATCATCATTCTATGCATTTAGTATACGATGACATGCATCAACCAAGTATATTACCTTTTACGACAAGCATGGGTTGCTGAAGAGCTATTCTCCCCCGAATCTTCACGGGACGGTACTTTCTTTCATTTCTTACTCATACGGATTTGAGACCAGTAAAAGACAATATGCTTGTCGTCAGAGGCGACTAACAGGATCGGGTGGTCACACTTGGTTGATGTATGTCATCGATCCCAATTACGTGGATCGATGCTCATGATATTAGTCATCGGATTGCCTGGTCCAGACTCGATTATTTACAGACCACCGTCATGTAGCTGGAATATTGCTGAGTGCGGCGTTAAACAACAAATAAATAATCACCACTACAACAGATGGACTGATCACCATAAACAGCTGGTTTGTTTTGCTATTGTCAGTGAGTGAGTGAGTTGGGTTTAACGCCGCTTAGTATTCCAGTTATATCGCGGCGTGTCAACTTAATGTGGGAGGAAAGCCCGAAGTGATGCAGGTCTCAGACGTTTACTACTTCGGTGAAACCCACGAGCATGGGGATGGTGCTGACAAACCTAGAAACATTATCGGGGCGAACCGGGATTCGAACCCACAATCATAGGTTTCTGGCGTGCCCAGGGGATGCAACTCTGCACAGACGACTGGGCCACAGGTGCCCCCTTGTTTTGCTACGTTAAATAGCAACGTGTAGAGTTGCAAGGACATGGTCCGCCTCAGAATCAAAAGAATATCTTACAACTTCACATGTACAATACAATCTCAAATCCGTAAACGCACAGGCAGTCGTCCATAGTCTCAAATTCATCTGCAAGTAGAAACAGCGTGCAATGCACTTACAAATCACATTAGGGTGAGTGAGTATGGTTTTACGCCGCTTTTAGCAATATTCCAGCAATATCACGGCGGGGGAAACCAGAAATGGGCTTCACACATTGTACCCATGTCGGGAATCGAACCCGGGTCATCGGCGTGACGAGGGAACGCTTCAACCACTAGGCTGCCCGACTGCCCCTATCACATCAGAATATACATGTACCTGGTATTAAAACAGTGATATGCAGATGCGGCCGACATTCCTCCTCCCCCAGATATGAGTCCACAAATATGGGTCCATGTCCCAGTTTCATTAGTTTGCAGACTCCCCATCCACGGAAAGTCATTCGTGCTGACGTCTGTCCCGCCACCAAATCGTTTCTGAGGAGAAGCTTGAGATACGGCTGAAATGATAGATTTCATTATCACTGTATTCAGAATCCGCAGTCGTAAATTGCAGAAATGTTGGTTGGTTGGTTTATTGTTTAACGTCGCACTCAGCAGTATTCCAGCTATATGACGGCGGTCTGTAAATAATCGAGTCTGGACCAGACAATCCAGTGATTGATATCATGAGCATCGATCCACGCAATTGGGATCGATGACGTGTATCAACCAAGTCAGCGAGCCTGACCACCCGATCCCGTTAGTCGACTTTTACGAGAAGCATAGTCGCCTTTTACGGCAAGCATGGGTTGCTGAAGACCTGTTCTACCCCGGAATCTTCACGGGTCCGCAGAAATATCAACTCGGTGCAGTGAGTGAGTGAGTGAGTATGGTTTTACGCCGTTTTTATCAATATTCCAGCAATATTGGAGACACCAGAAATTGGCTTCACACAATGTACCCACGTCGGGAATCGAACCCGGGTTTTCAGCGTGACAAGCGAATGCTTTAACCACTAGACTACACTAGACTATAAACACAATACGGCGACCTGTACATTCGGATAAACCAGTACGTGATCTTATGAGACACATTCAATATAGTCAGTTACAGTTACACGCAAATCAACCATTACAGTTAACTATTGTTAATTTTCATCTACCCGTGATGATCCGGGGTAGAATAGGTCTTCAGCAACCCATGCTTGTCGTAAGAGGCGACTAACGGGGTCGGGTGGTCAGGCTCGCTGACTTGGTTGCTGCTGGTCATCGATCCCAATTGCGTTGATCGATGTTCATGATATTAATCACTGGATTGCGGCGTAAAACAACAAACCAACCAACTGTACGTTGAGGCCGATGAGCCGCCACTTTAACTACCTGTACGCCGAACGAAACTAACTTTGCAGTACAGTAAACTACGGTTATAACGAACACGCTTCTAACGAACTGACTGATATAACAAACTTATTTTTTAGTCCCGGCCATTTGTTGTATATATGCTGTATATATGCTTATAACGAACTACGGTTATAACGAACTAAAATAAGTGGTCCCTTGAGTTTGTTATAACCGTATTTTACTGTATATCACAAAATTAAATTCTAATCCGTCTAACACCGCGTGCAACTTTGTGTTTAATCCTCTTTATGAGGATCTGTATAGTAAGAAGTCCTCTCTTATTTCACCTCTCGGAATAAGAATAAAATCTTTAATTTCGGCTGCTGGTATAAAACACAGGTTACTGTCTACAACTCCTTGGCAACTGGTCAAACCGGAGGTAGACCTAGCACTAACTACCCTCAAAAAAGCTGACACAAACCAGTCGGTCTGTCAACAAGAATATGCCCAATTGCGGTCAAAATATGATACCCATCGCTCTATTTTTACCGATGGCTCCAAGGATGGTGGCAGAGTTTCAAGTGCCACTGTCATTGGATCTAAAAGGGTGTCTTCTAGATTTTTTACAGCTGAGGCCAATGCTATTCTTATAGCATTGGACTACATTCAAAACCAATCATCTCAACAGTTCATCATCTTTTCTGATTCCTTGTCATGCCTTCAAGCAACACATAATTGTACTTCAGATCATCCGTTGATTCTGAATATTTTAGAATTGAATAATGTTCTCGCCACTGCCGAATACGACATCGTCTTTTGCTTGTTGCCCAGTCATGTTGGAATTGCTGGTAACACTATGGCTGATACTGCTGCAAAGGCAGCACTCAACAAATCAGTAACACCACTTCTTTTACCATACAGTGATTACAAGCCAATAATTAGGTGCTACATCAAAGATCTAATGCAAAAGAAGTGGACCACCCAAGTAGGTATAAGCAAACTTTATGCCATAAAACCAACAATAGGGTATACCTACTTGGGTTGCCATTCGAGACATGACGAAGTTGTTTTGCAACGATGTCGTATTGGACACAGTCGATATAGCCATGAGTATCTTTTAAAAGGTGAGGATTCTCCATTCTCTTTCCCTTGCGATGAGAGAATCACAGTCAAGCATGTTTTACTTGATTGACTGTGTTGATTTTTCTCTCATAAATGATAACTTTTATCATTCAACATCTTTAAAGGATATTCTTTATAATATCAGTGCTCATTTAATTCTCGGTTTTTTAAAAGAAATACTATTATTTATTAAATTTTGAATTGTTTTAGAATAGTTGGATATTATTGTCAACTGAGATGTATGAAGGCAGTGCCACTCAGGGGGTTAAAGTAGTGTAAAATTATTGTCCCCCTGACAGTGACACATGAGTCTACTATATTGAAGTAATTAATATCAACTAGTGTTTTAATTCCTTGATTGTGTTTTGATTTTTAATATTGGTTAATATTTCGTACAACCACTCGTGACCAAAGTGATGGTATAAATCCTGCTGGGAATCATGCAGGAAGCAAAAGCACTGTAAGTCCCCTTGATCCCCAGTTAGGTGGTCTAGCTTTGGTTATTAGTGGTCTATAGCCATGTTTTAATTGATAAGACTTAATGCTGTGTATAGCTATATGATTTTTAAAACTCACACTCTGGTTTGTTTTAATAAAAACTGTGATATACCTTACTATTTTACTGTCCTTTGTCGACCGATATTTTATATCTAATACCTTGTTGCCATCGCTATATGGCTGAAATATTGCCGATGCGATGTAAAGTGTAACTCACTCACTCACTCACTATAAAACTGGAAAATATATCTCTTTTCCGCCTGCTTCCTTCTCCTCTATGGCAGGTGGTAAAGCCACAGGTGGACCTTACCTTACCTTAACTGAAGAAATCTAACTCTAATCAACTACAATATCAACAAGAATACAATCAGTTAAGGTGTAAATATGATACCTATAAATCTATTTTTACTGATGGATCCAAGGATGGTGATGCTGTTGCCAGCGCCACCATCATTGGATCCAGAACTGTATCAACTAGCTATAGATTACAAGATGACTCTTAAATTTTTACAGCTGAATCAAAGGCAATATTAACTGCTTTAGAATATATAGATAAACAATCTAAACAAAAGGAATTCATAATTTTTTCAGACTGTTTATCCTGTCTTCAGGCAATTAAAAATACTTCGTGTCAGCATCCAATTTTTCTCGACATCATAGAACTACATAATAACCTTGCATCTGGCCAATATGACATCGTCTTTTGCTGGTTACAGCTGGTTACATGTTGGAATTGTTGGTAATACAACATACTGATGCTGCTGCAAAAGTAGCACACAACAAATCTGTGACACCACTTCTTATACCATACAGTGATTATAAACCTGTCATTAGATGTTTCATCAGAGATCTAATGCAGTTGATTGTGATTGAGTATGGTTTTACGCCGCTTTTAGCAATATTCCAGCAATATCACACCAGAAATGGGCTTCACACACTGTACCCATGTCGGGAATCGAACCCGGGTGTTCGGCGTGACGAGCGAACGCTTTAACCACTAGGCTACCCGACCGCCCCTGCAGAAGAAGTGGGTATAAATACATTACATGTAATACCTACTTGGGTTGTCAGTCGAGATTTGAAGAGGTCATTTTAAGACGATGTCGTATTGTCCATTCTCGCTATACTCATGAATATATATTAAAATGTGAGGATCCTCCATTCTGCATCCCTTGTGAGGAAAGAATCACGGTCAAGCATGTCCTGCTTGACTGTACTGATATTTCCATCACAAGGGATACATATTTCAAAGTTTCAGCTATGAAGGACCTTTTTAGTTTTTACACGGGTAAGAACTCATTTAATTCGTGTTTTTGTTAAAGAAATTGAATTAATTCATAAATTTTGATTGCTATGTTTTGTAAATATATAAATTCACTTTTACAGTTGGTAGAATTAATCAGTAACTGAGATTGTTAGTGGCTATCTATATCCTCTAAGGGTGTTAAAGTAGTGTAAAATTATTGTCCCCCTGAGAGGGTATGTCAGACCACGTCCTTCAAAGTATGTTTATTTCTGCCACGTTTTTAATCGTAGTTTATATGTTCCTCTAAATTTTAGCTTAATTTGTCAATAATCGCCAACAGGGGATGATGTAAATCCGGCTAGGGATCCATGCAATTAGCAAAAGTCCCCATGGACCCTAGTATGGTGATCTGCCTTCAGATGCTGGCGATCTATAGCCCTTTTTTACATTGTAATGTTTCATGACTATTTAGTGATATCTTTTTATTGTTGTTTGCTACTTTTAAATATTAAATCTGTGATATTCAAGTAATTTTACTGTCCATCGATGACAGGTTTTTATTCGGTTTAAATACATGTATGAATACCGTATAACTTCTCGTCACGATATGGCTGAAATATTGAAGATGTGACGTAAAGCATTAACTCACTCACTCATGTGGGGAATCGAACCCGGGTTTTCGGGTAAGGGTTAGGCTACCCCACAGCCCCGCTAGCTTTAAGGGGTTGTTGGACAGCATCGTGGTTAAAGCGTCCCTACATGTACAATGTGTGAAGCCCATTTCTGGTGTCCTCCGCCGACACAAACATGTACCTGAAATATTGCTGAAAGCGGCGTAAAATTATACTCACTCGCTAGTTTTATATGTGTGTGTGTGTGTGTGTGTGTGTGTGTGTGTGTGTGTGTGTGTGTGTGTGTGAAATAGTCTTGTCATTTTACTGGTTGGTTGGTTTGTTGTTTAACCCCGCACTCAGCAATATTCTAGCTGCTGACAGCTGCTTTTTAAGTTAGTTGGTTGACCAGAAAATCCAGTCATTAACAATATGAGCATCGATCCACGCAATTGGGATTCGTTTGTTCGTTCACAAGATTACAGCTGTAAATAGAGTCTGGAGCAGACAATCCAGTGATTAATATCACGAGGATCCATCCATACAATAGGGATCGATGACATGCATCAACCAAGTCAGCGAGCCTGATCATCCGATCCCGTTAGTCGCCTTTTACGACAAGCATAGTCACCTTTTACGGCAAGCATGGGTTGCTGAACACCTAGTCTACCCCAGAATCTTCACGGACCTGTCATTTTACTGTCCTTAGGTGACAGGGGGTATATGCTCTGAGATATGAAATATGATCAACAAATAACTCACAGTAAATTCGTATGAAATGCTTTATCCGGCAGTACAAGCTTCCGTGGTCAGACTCGGTGCCTGTCTTCATATGTTTTAATTTTTTTAAATTTCTTTTGTTGTTTAACGCCGCACTCAGCAATATTCAACCTATATGACGGCGGTCTGTAAATAATCGAGTCTGGACCAGACAATCGGGATCGGGTGGTCAGGCTCGCTGACTTGGTTGATGCATGTCATCGTATCCCAAATACGTGGATCGATGCTCATGATGTCAATCACTACTTTGTCTGGCCTAGACTCGATTATTTACAGACCGCCGTCATATAGCTGGAATATTGGAATTATAGTGCAGCGTTAAACAACCAACAAACACACCATATATGACGACGGTCTGTAAAGTGTAAATCATCAAGTCTGGACCAGACTTACAACAGATTGACTTCATGAGCATCGATCTACCGAATTGGGATACGATGACATGCATCAACCGAGTTAGTAGGCATGACCACCCGATCCCGCTAGCCACGTCTTACGAAAAGCATGCTCGCCCTTTACGGTAAGCAACCCATGAAGACCCGGGAAGAGAAAAGGCGACTGTCTGGTCCAGACTCGATTATTTACAGACCGCCGTAATAAGCTGGAGTATTGCTGAGTGCGGCGTTAAACAACAAACGAAATAAAACTATAGATAAGCTTGGGTTGCTGACCCGGATCTTCACGTAAATTGTAATTGTAATAAAGCCTACCTGACAAGCACATGATCGCAGCGATGTAGACATTCGTCATCCCTCCCGTCCTGGTCATGATAGTTGAAACCTGGTCTTACTGGAAATATTCCCCGATAGCGAACGTCTGGGAGATCTGCTATTTAAGGAAATATCCAACACGGTGTAGTAATGTGATTGGGTATTCATAATAACGTATAAGATTGTCATTTTCCCCAAATTTAAAACTCTTAATCAACTCGTGACAGCAGGGTGCTAAATGGACATGCCACCTGTCACCTCACACATTGCTGTTAATAGAAGATAGTCTACCAGTAAAGATCCAGCTTACAACATGCGACTTTGTTTGTCGTAAGCTTTGGTTTGTTGTTTAACGCCGCACTCAGCAATATTCCAGCTATATGACAGCGGTCTGTAAATAATCGAGTCTGGATCAGACAATCCAGTGATTAATATCATGAGCATCGATCCACGCAATTGGGATCGATGACATGTATCAACCAAGTCAGCGAGCCTGTCCACCCGATCCCTTAAGTCGCCTTTGACGACAAGCATAGTCACCTTTTACGGCAAGCATAGTCACCTTTTACGGCAAGCATAGGTTGCTGAAGACCTATTCTACCCCGGAATCTTCACGGGTCGCTTGTCGTAAGAGACGACTAACGGGATCGGGTGGTTCGACACGCTGACTTGGTTGATGCACGCCATCGCTTCACTGGATAGTCTGTGGTTTCACGAAAGCCTCTTAGCGCTACGACCTCCTAAACCACGCCGTAAAGCACCTCTTAAATAGTTGTGCCATTTCACAAAGACCTCCTAACTATAAAACCCACCGTAAACAACCTCCTAACCTACGAAAGGTATGGGGCACTTGTAACTAGCTTACGACATCCTCAGTCAGCGTCTGATATGGCAACACGATATTGAGAATCAAATAAATTTTGAACAGGAGAAACATTAGGCGAGAGCGAATATTCTGGGATAGGACTCAAGTGTTGGACACTTTGACCGACACAGAACTGATTGCCAGGTATCGCTTTCCTCGGCATACCATCCTACAGCTGGTTGATCGGGTCAGCTCGGAGATCTCTCGGCCGACCAAACGTTCGTGTGCCTTACCTGTCCATGTTCAGGTGTTAGTAACACTTAAATACTTTTCAAAAGGGGGATTCCTAAGCGAATTAGGAGATATACATGGTACTGCCAAATCAAGTGTTTGTCGCGTGTTGGAAAAGACGACAGATGCAATTGTAAAGTCGTATGACTTGATCTGGTTTCCAAGGCCCGACAAACACGCTAAACTAGCGGAGGATTTCTTCCACATCTGTGGTTTTCCGAAAGTTGTTGGCTGCATAGATTGTACTTTGATACCTATTCAACGACCAGCATTAGATGAAGCAGTATATGTGTGCAGAAAAGGATTCCACGCCATCAATGTGCAAGCTGTGTGCGACGCCCAACTCCGGTAGATATCCTTGACGACCTTGACCCTTGCAATGTAACAAAACAATCTAGACTTGCTGGTTCATAGAGAATACTACACTCATTCTCGTTAGATACCATTTTTACTAAACGAGTGGACTTTCTGTGGTATCTGACCGAGCTTTCGCTCGGTCAGATAACATAGAAAGTTCACGAGTTTCGTAAAAATGGTATCTAACGAGAATGCATGTGGTATTTTATTTATTACCCACATTAAATATATATTTAAGTGTAAATACATAACAACTTTCGTTCGTTGACCGACCAAACTGAAACCGGTTGCAAAATCTGGTTGCGCATGAATATTGATATATGCCCAAATTTCTCAGGAATCTGTATGTAACCAGTTCGGCACGACTTGTGATATTTTGCTTCACAGGTAAATAGATCCTTCCCTCTGATCCGCAGCAGGAGAGGCTCATCGTTTTGACGTTGAGCTACTTCAATGACATGCTGCCATCCACCCCGACTGAAGTTTGAGAGCCCTTCTGTTGTCCAGCTTCCTTTTGACTTGAATTTCTTTCATGAATACGAAGTACAAAAGATGCAGTCAGGTTGGAAGATGATGGGCTCATAGGATGGACGCCGAATTGGGCGGCAAGCTAGTTCCTAAGATTCAATTTCAGGTTGTTACAAACTGTCAAGGTTCACTGTAAAACGCTGACAATATTCTCTGTGATAGCCATGGGTTTCTTCCAGAACTGCCGGCAGGCTTGTACATGACACTTCCATTTGATTTGGCGTTTCTGGAGGTTCTGCCATCCTTCTATGCTTGATCACTCCTTCAGCTTTTCCATCTTCTCATCAGGATCTTTGGCTTTGCTCAGACGTTGTAGTGGGCCATACTTCAAGCCAGGTACATGTATGATGCACACTGGCTCTGGATCACTGGGGATACGTTTCCGATTTGGTTGAGATGTTAAAGCTGTCTTCGAGTTGTTCCCGGTTGTATAAGATGTTGGTCTCAGTCACAACAGTTCAACCTCAAAAGACACATAATCATGGTGATGACATTGTTACAAGGTGGGACATTTCCATATATATTAACTTGGGTATTCTGTAAGAGAATCTTAAGTATGTAATTGGAATATAATTTATTTCTGTGAATGCATGGTCCCTGTTCATTTCAAGCCATTCATATACGATTTGGACGATTCGCATTTGGACATTTTCTGTAAATTGGAAACTTAGGTAGCTAAGTGATGTATGAATTAAATGTTAGTAAGTGAATTCGTCTTTTACCTTCGGTGGTGCCCCCTGCAAATTCACATTAACTAGTAACTGTACTAAAACATCTGAAACTCAACTTGAAATGGCAAAATTTGTCAAAATATCAAGCCTGCGTCCAGAAATTGATTTGTATATTTGCTGAAATAAATAACATTTACATTATGATCTTTTTTTTTTGCACAGCTTTATGGTTGCCATCTTGAATATGTTACACATAGGTCCATTTCATTCAAAGTTCTGAAATCGACTCGAGCATTATACTGTGAACCTCTTATATGCATACAAAAGTGAGTGATATCAGAGTTGTCAAGAAGTATTCTATATGATTGTCCAAAAGTAGATCAATAATCAGCCCACATCAAATTATGGTGTTTATATATGGTGTCCTATGGCATATAACACATCAAGGTCGGTGAATAACACACAAGATGACAAGCCAAATCCTGAGCATACATCCAAGCGTTGTTCCGATATAGCTAGGCCGAGAATGCAATATTAGGTATCCGAGTAAATTTGTTTCAAATTGGGCAAAAGATTTTCACCTGGTAACATCACATGTTAAGTAAGTACTTCAAGAGATGTACTGGAACACGTGTTTGAAGATTATAGTGGAATCAGGCACACGTACCTAGAACATATACCGGATTAAAGGTTTCTGCGAGAAAAAAATAGTTTTGTCGGGATATATGACGTTTGATTTGCCATGGGTTGGTCCATATTCACTCAATACCAATTATTGATACCTCATTAGAGAGGTATTTATATATGGATTCCAGTGGTATATCACACTTGAAGATCAGTGGGTCACTAGTGAGATGACTACCCAAAACGTAATCATACCCCTAAGTGATATACGGCAAAACCGGGCGAAAACGCGATATAAGGTACCATACTTTGAAAGGCTGTAACAACAAGTTCGTCCCAACTTTTTTCTTGGGATGATCCGTTTAGTATGTTTATTGGCTTTACAATTTTTTAGTGGGGTTTGGATGTGTGTGTGTGGGGGGGGGGGGGGGGGGGTGGGGGGGGGGGGGGTGCTCGTGGGTCATACCTAGCCCACGGCCTAAATTCAAGCGCCATGTTGTTAGTACGAAGGACACCTTTATGAAAATTTGAAAAGTCACATTAGCGCCGCGCTTTGGACTAACAGTCGGTCACTCGCACTGCCGGTGTCCCGTCTGTGCAATCAATATAGTTCGGTTTCCTTGATCTATCAGCAGAATTTATATCATCGTACCATATTGGAAGAGGGAAATCAGAGTGTTCGCCAAAGACATTCATGTTAACTGTACCACCCTATACTGAAGACGTGAAAATCAACAAACTCAAGTCTGCTTGCATGTCAGTGACAGCTTCGAACGATCGAAGGGCAAGGTCACCACCGGAATAAGAAAAGACAACCGTGATCTAGGCCTACTCAGCGTTTTACGCTAGAGATAGGGAATGTTATTGTTCACATTTTGGATGTTTGGGGCCACAAAATCAGAAGTCAGGCACACTTCCACGGAGCTTTCGAATGATTTTTATCAGAACTGTTCACTTTTGGTGATATGGCAGTGCAGTCGTGTACGTTCATTCATGAACAACATCTCCCGAAACAGCGCCACAAAATACGCTTCGAAGGGGACACTGATGGCAAAACCAGATCATCCCAAGTAAGGCTAAATATCTGTCCAGATAGTTTAAACATACTTCATTTCACAACGCTTATCCCTTTACCTTAAATCAAATTGAAAGTTGCAAAAGTGGTCGGGTGCGTCACGCTCATGGGGGCCCTCGCTCTATTGATCGGTAGTCGTACATTGTAAATGGATATCGCTCGATTATATAATGTTTGTAGAAGCTGTATGCATAACTTATATAGAATGCAAACTGAATTTGATGCCTGTAACTATTTTGTTTGGTTTAATAAAGTGTTTGTGAATATCTCTCGGTCTCATTAATTTCTTCAGTTCTACCTTGTGGTTGCGAAAGGAATGACGTCTCGCGATTTTTATGAATGAAAAAAGTAGTCCCGGTGTGACAGAGCTCACGGTTATCCAATCAAAACGAATAAAACAAGGTCAACCTTGTACGACACACGTGTGACGTACGAATTTAGTATCTTACCACCTGTATCTTCACCACATGGGTAATAATTTCAGATAATAAACGTCATTGTGTCATAATTGATTTGTCAATAGCTCATGTAGGCTTATTTATGTCCAAATGTTTCATAATTATTCGGCTTATTTAAATATGATTTTCTTAACGAATGTGGACTTGTGGATTTAGTTATTTATGTATGTAATTTATTTATTTTTGCAGATTCACAAACATTATTGTCCAATGGCCAGGATCAACCCATGATTCACATGTTTTCAACAACTGCAATTTGAAAAGGCATCTGGAGGAAGGGAAATATGACATCTGGCTTCTTGGTGATTCAGGGTAGGTACATGTATGTCCAAGTTATTTATGTCATGTTTGTCTTTTAATGTATACATAAATATATATCGGGAACATTAAATTTATCGAAACATTCTACATTAGGTATGCCTGTAGACCCTACCTCCTGACACCTGTCAACAACCCTGCAAATGAAAAAGAGGAGAAATACAACCGCTGTCATATTGGAACAAGGAACTCAGTTGAGAGGGCAACTCAACAAATAAATAATTCATGGAAGCTTTATGTTTTAATTCAAGGTTTTGCTGAAGTAACTGGACTAATGAGCATGTGTATTGCTGATTGTATGTCATTCTGATTTCAAAATACCTGTGCTGTTGGCATGTGTTTATCATGATAAAACATTTATACTAACAGGTAATATAAAATATGCGTTTTACCTGATGATAAGTATTACTTGCTAAACTATAATTATATATGAAATGATGTATAAATATTACACAATGATAACTCATAAAAGCACTTGATGTGGATCTAATTATTACAGGAAAACTTAGTATAAATGTTATATCATGATATATTCATCACTATATTTGTAAACTCAACTATATAAGTATGTTACATCTGCTTAGGTGTCTACACAAATCAACAGGATGCCTGTTATTCAGCCCACAGAAGAGCATCAAAATTAGTACTGCCTGCTTTCAACTTCATAATTTGGCAATATTACTGAAGTTGCCTGAGCCTGATGTTCTTTGTGAGACTCCTGGACCAGAGGTGGACAGCAGTCCTGCTGATAACCACAACTTGGATGGATGTAGAGTCAGGGGAAAACTTATCAACACTAGGTTTTAAATGACGTAGCATACATATCCAATTGTGATACTTTTACTAAGAGGCCACATAATGTCAATAATCCCACACTAAAAGTTGTAAGGTAGCACTTTTTCAAAATCCAGCACCACTTTATGGCCACACTTGTGAATATTGCATATAATTGTTTTTTGGAGTTTATGAAAATGTATTGTTTTTTGTACATATGCTATATCCAAATAATAACACAAACAACTAAACATCTTTGTGATCACAAGTAAACAGTAACATGAGTTTACTGCCTTTAATCAAATTTGATTATGGGAGACAATGAGTTTCCAAATGATTTTTTTATATTCAAATTTTTCTCTTTCCAGGTCCAGGCTCTGTCTTTGGATGTCACGGATGTCCCGCTGCACAGACAGAATTTCCTCAAGGAGTGACATCTTTCTCTCCTCCTGGGCTTGTAAGGACTTAATCTCTCCCAGAATGTCTTCTGAAAATATTTAGACAATTTTGGGTTATATCAATGATATTAGGATGTTCCTTAATATTATTTTATTAAACATTTATGATCATTATATGTAATACTGAAACCACTACATTATGAACAAATAAATGCCATACCTTCATTAGATGTTTTCTTGATCAGAGGCCTCCCTTTAGGTTTTCCTTGAAAACAAATTTGTATTGTTATTAACTAGAATTCATGATATAGTGACTTGATTTTTTAATGTTAATACAAATTTACTATTGAATAAAGTTGCATAATGTTTAATACATACTGGTTCTGATAGCAGGAGTCATCATTATATCCTCCAGACTGGCTTGGTTCTTTTCTTAAATGTATATAATATTTTTAAGATAATTGTAACTGCTAACATCTCACATGGGGTACCGGTATTCAGTTTGTTCACATGTATTTTCAGCATACACTTGGATTTTTAGAATAAAATAGCACCAAGTGTATGAATTTATTCACCATGTCAATGTAAATTATAACATTTGATTATCTTTATTATTAAAAATTATTTCATACCTGTGATAGTTACACAATCATTTTCTCCTGTGCTTGTAGCTGTCAATGGAGTGTAAAACACCTCCTGTGGAGAATCTGAAATATATAAGTTGTGAGTGCACTAAATAGTTGTATTGAAGATATTGGTTAATTGTGCCTGACCATTCAGTGCATCGAGAAATCTCATATATTTCTTTTGTATACATTTGTTCATTTATGATACATTTAATATGTAAGGGGAATTTGCCAATATGCAAGAGGTATTAGTTTTTGAATATGGCAATATTTAGTTTATTTACATCTTCAAAACAAAGAAATAAATGAGTTTGAAGTAGTATTTACCAAACATTAATGCCTGTGTAGCTTCTTCAGCTTCATCAGCTACTGAAGGAATCATGCTGAACACTTAAATTAATAAAACATATTTTTCATTTATCATAACAAATACTGTCAATGTTTCATAAATATACCATCAAATACCCATAAAGCTTCATTAAGTTACATACGTTATTGACTTTAATACACATGTACATGAATCCCAAGAAGGAAGTGTCATCATTACCAGGTGTTTCCATGCCTCCTGAGATCCCCCCCCCCCCCCCCTCCCAATAGCACAGGTTGGAATCAGTTGTAGAATCTATTTAAAGAAGGAATGGGTGACTATATTACTTACTATAATGATAGTTTATTTTAAAATGTGTAATACACAGTTAGTTTTTCATGAATTATGTCTGTTGTTACATGAACTCATTATGTTTCAAACCATTACTTTATCAGGTACATATTGAAACATTTTGTCTGTTGGTTGGTTTGTTGTTTTACGCAGCACTCAACCATATTCCAGCTATATATGACGGCGGTCTGTAAATAATCGAGCCTGGACCAGACAACCAAGTGAATAATATCATGAGCATCGATCCACGTATGTGAGATCGATGACATGAATCAACCAAGTCAGCGAGCCTGACCACCCGATCCCGTTAGTCGCCTTTTTACGACAAGCATAATCACCTTTTACGGCAAGCATGGGTTGCTGAAGACCTATTCTACCCCGGAATCTTCAATCCCATGTCTGTTGTTCAACGCCGCACTCAGCTATATTACGGCGGTCTGTAAATAATCGAGTCTGAACCAGACAATCTAGTGATTGACATCATGAGCACCGAGCTACGCAGTTGGGATACGATCACATGCATCAACTAACCCAGCGAGCCTGACCGCCCGATCGCGTTAGTCGCCTTTTACGACAGGCATATTCGCCTTTTACGGCAAGCATGGGTTGGTGAAGACCTGTTCCTCCCCGGATCTTCACGGGTCCAGCAACAAATGTTTCGCTAAAATACTAGGGACCGCGGGGACACCTGGTACCTGCATCCGGGGTAGAATAGGTCTTCAGCAAACTATTCTTGCCGTAAAAGGCGACTATGCTTTTCGTAGGAGGTAAAAATCGTGAATGTTTGCAACACAAAAAGTGTAACAAATGGCAAGTTAAAACTTCTTTACACATACTGACGACCATGGTCGCTTTTGGCATCACCTTCCTTTGGCGATCAAACGCCAAAAGTAGCTAACGCGGTTTGGGTATTGATTTTATCCTAAGAACGTGGGTGTTAACAGGTGGTATATTCAGCAAGCACCATGCTGTGAAGAGTTCATACAGAGTTTATTTGAGTTTATTTGACCTTGACCATTGAAAATGAGTAAATATTTCTAAAGCAGGCGTTTTTGCATTGCTATCGCGTTTTGCTTATATACCTTAAAATTGTAGGACAATGCCTTGTAAAATCATTACCGTGACGATACGGGGTAGAATAGGTCAATAGCAACTTATGCTTGTGGTAAGAGGCGACAAACGGGATCGGGTGGTCAGGCTCCCTGACTTGGTTGATTCATGTCATCGATCCCAATTGCGTGGATCGATGCTCATGATATCACTGGACTGTCTTGTCCAGACTCGATAATTTTCAGGCCGCCGTCATATAGCTGGAATATTGCTGAGTGCGGCGTTAAACAACAAACCAACCAACCAAACCCTCCCTCAATCAAACGCCAACAGTTGGGTGTTGATTGTGTCCCATCAACGTACGTGTCAACAGGTGGTATATCCAATTAGCACCATGCTGTAAAGTTCATTCAGAGTTTAATTGGCCTTGAAAATAAGTAAATATTTCTCAAGCAGGCGTTTTTACGTTGCTATCGCGTTCTGCTTCTACACAATAATATAGCAGAACATGGCCTTTTAAAATTAAAAAAAGAAGTGAAGATCCGGTGAAGAATAGAATATGTCTTCGGAAACCCTTTCTTGTCGTAAAGAGGAGATTAACGGGATCGGGTTTTCAGGCTCGCTGACTTGGTTGATGCATGTCATTGTACCTAATTGCGTAGCTCGATGCTCATGATATCAATCATTGGATTGTCTCGTCTAGACTCGATTATTTACAGACCGCCGTCATATAAGAGAATATTGTTCAGCGCGAGCTAAAACAACAAACAGACAAACCAACTTTAAAATTATTTTGGTCAGCTGTCCCTGTTTTAAGAATGACCAAGGTTTTTTTGCGTTTTATAATTAGATGTTACTGGTATTTGATTCACGTACTACATTTCCCGTGCGTTTAGCAATGGAAAACCAGAATATTTATTATTTCTGTAACAATTGTGTTTGTCATGCGATTCAATCAAGATGCATCCATACATAAAACATACGCAAAAACAATATACAGTAAACTACAGTTATAACGAACTCAAAGGGACTACTAATTTTAGTTCCGTTATAACCGCAGTTCGTTATAAGCATATATACAGCATATGATACCAATTTTATGAAACTTATGAATAGGTCTAAAACAATTCATGCATGTGCACATGCAGTAGGACTACGTAGTGATAACAGTGAAGACGTAGTAGACATAGTGTAGTAGGAATAGCAGTAGAAATACGTAGTGGTAACAGTGATGACGTAGTAGACGTGGTTTAGTAGCAATAGCAGTAGAAATACGTAGTGGTAACAGTGATGACGTAGTAGACGTAATGTAGTAGCAATAGCAGTAGAAATACGTAGTGGTAACAGTGATGACGTAGTAGGCGTAGTGTAGTAGCAATAGCAGTAGAAATACGTAGTGGTAACAGTGATGACGTAGTAGACGTAGTGTAGTAGTAATAGCAGTAGAAATACGTAGTGGTAACAGTGAAGACGTAGTAGACGTAATGTAGTAGCAATAGCAGTAGAAATACATAGTGGTAACAATGATGACGTAGTAGACGCAGCGTAGTAGCAATAGCAGTAGAAATACGTAGTGATAACAGTGATGCCGTAGTAGACGTAGTGTAGTACCAATAGCAGTATAGAAATACGTAGTGGTCACAGTGATGACGTAGTAGACGTAGAGTAGTAGCAATAGCAGTAGAAATACGTTGTGGTAACAGTGATGACGTAGTAGACGTAGTGTAGTAGCAATAGCAGTAGAAATACGTAGTGGTAACAGTGATGACGTAGTAGACGTAGAGTAGTAGCAATAGCAGTAGAAATACGTTGTGGTAACAGTGATGACGTAGTAGACGTAGTGTAGTAGCAATAGCAGTAGAAATACGTTGTGGTAACTGTGATGACGTAGTAGACGTAATGTAGTAGCAATAGCAGTAGAAATACGTAGTGGTAACAGTGAAGACGTAGTAGACGTAGAGTAGTAGCAATAGCAGTAGAAATACGTAGTGGTAACAATGATGACGTAGTAGACGCAGTGTAGTAGCAATAGCAGTAGAAATACGTAGTGGTAACAATGATGACGTAGTAGACGCAGTGTAGTAGCAATAGCAGTAGAAATACGTAGTGGTAACAGTGAAGACGTAGTAGACGTAATGTAGTAGTAATAGCAGTAGAAATACGTAGTGGTAACAGTGGTGACGTAGTAGACGCAGTGTAGTAGCAATAGCAGTAGAAATACGTAGTGGTAACAATGATGACGTAGTAGACGCAGTGTAGTAGCAATAGCAATAGAAATACGTAGTGGTAACAGTGAAGACGTAGTAGACGTAGAGAAGTAGCAATAGCAGTAGAAATACGTAGTGGTAACAGTGATGACGTAGTAGAAGTGGTTTAGTAGCAATAGCAGTAGAAATACGTAGTGGTAACAGTGAAGACGTAGTAGACGTGGTTTAGTAGCAATAGCAGTAGAAATACGTAGTGGTAACAGTGAAGACGTAGTAGAGACAGTGTAGTAGCAATAGCAGTAGAAATACGTAGTAGTAACAGTGAAGACGTAGTAGACGCAGTGTAGTAGCAATAGCAGTAGAAATACGTAGTGGTAACAGTGAAGACGTAGTAGAGACAGTGTAGTAGCAATAGCAGTAGAAATACGTAGTAGTAACAGTGAAGACGTAGTAGAGACAGTGTAGTAGCAATAGCAGTAGAAATACGTAGTGGTAACAGTGAAGACGTAGTAGAGACAGTGTAGTAGCAATAGCAGTAGAAATACGTAGTGGTAACAGTGATGACGTAGTAGAGACAGTGTAGTAGCAATATCAGTAGAAATACGTAGTGGTAACAGTGATGACGTAGTAGAGACAGAGTAGTAGCAATAGCAGTAGAAATACGTCGTGATAACTGTTAGCAGCAGGTACAAGTGTCACAGGGAAATATAATTTCATGGAGGAATGTGGATTACTTTGTTCAAGTCTGTGAAATAAATGATGAAGTAACAGATTTTATGACAACTTGGATCAGATTTGCCCAAGGCAATGAGAGTGAATTGTTTGAAGTATCATAAAATATCCGTACCTGAGTATTTTTCCACATCCACAGACACGCAATCAGTGCTGGCGTACATGGCATAGAAATAGATATTAACTGGTCAGTTTGTCGTTCATGTTTTCACAATTTGCATGCCGAATACCTTTTCTTCCAGTAGCGATTGGCATATCTCTCTAGAAGCAATCGTTCGATGGGAAAGAACTCGATCCCGTTGGTCGCCCTTTACGACGAGCCTTTTACGACAAGCACAGACCCGTGAGGATTCCGGGGTAGAATAGGTCTTCAGCAACCCACGCTTGCCGTAGAAGGCGACTATGCTTGCCGTAAAAGGCGACTAACGGGATCGGGTGGTCAGGCTCGCTGACTTGGTTGATGCATGTCATCCATCCAAAATGCGTGGATTGATGCTCATGATATCAATCACTGGATTGTCTGGTCCAGACTCGATTATTTACAGACCGCCGTCATATAGCTGGAATATTGCTGAGTGCGGCGTTAAACAACAAACCAACCAACCAACCAACTAACTCAAACTGTGAAAGGTAAACACCGCTTTGGGATTTGGGCGGGCTGGTCGGGATGTTTTGTGGGAGATATCCTACTAAATAAACATAGCGGTCATAAAATGTTCAAGTCCCATAGAACCATGGATCGATGCTCATGATAGTAATCACTTGATTGTGTAGTCCAGACTCGATTATTTACAGACCGCCGTCATATAGCTGGAATATTGCTGAGTGCGGCGTTAAACAACAAACAAACAGACAAACAAATGACAAGCATAGTCGCCTTTTACGGCAAGTATCCCTGTATCTGACTAATGTATATAAGTATATACAAG